CTGCTGTCATTTTTCAGATTAGTGCGTGTGTGTGTGTGTGTGTGTGTGTGTGTGTGTGTGTGTGTGTGTGTGTGTGTGTGTGTGTGTGTGTGTGTGTGTGTTTATCTTAGTCCAGGGTGTGTGTGTATGATGTTTGTGATGTGATAAGCAGTGGTCTGGGACTGCTGGAATGCTGTGGATGGGAATGCTCTGGAATGTCGCTGCTGAGATATCAGTCCTTCCCAGCATTCCTTACTCCAGTGTGTTTCATCAATTGCAGTTTGTGTACTTACAATTAATTATTTCCTACAAGTATGTACTGAGTGTGTAACAGAGGAGTGTGCAAGCTGTGGGACTGTTCTGTTGCTTAGTTACAAGTCCTGTCAATCATCTTGGCACTTCCTCTATAGTTATTCTATAAGTGATTTCTCTCTGTATTCGAGCACAGTAATCTGCCACTCCATTGTATAGAGAAATGTTTGCTTAATGATGCCTTCAACACCCACAGTAATGATTGTGGAGATTTTAAAAAGAGGCGTGGCCTGTTGGGTTGTGGGCGTGTTTAGTTTTGGCAGGATTCATTCTTAAAGGGGTAGTTCACTCAAAAATTAATGTTCAGTATCATGAAGCACAAATGGTGCTCTGGTGATTGCAGCATTAACCTTGCTGTAATCATCACTTTGTAATGGAAACTGATGTGCTTTTCATCTGACTGATCATCTGCTCCTGCATTATGCCTCTGCGTTTCACTGCATTTATCATGTAGTTCTTGCTTTCCATATTTCTCCATCTGTGACTCCTTGTCTGCTTCACACACACAGAGAGTAACATATCCTCAGACTGAGGCACTGCTGTGACAAATGCCTCATAGAACATTTTACTTGGGTATAAAATGTAGTACTGCATGTTTTAGTGGAAAATATTTATTTAAAACTGGCATTTTGTTCAGGTTTTCAGTGCTTGTTTTTAGTTTTATATACTTTGATTAGTGTCTATATTGTTTTTATACTGTGTTGACTGATTTTTATGTTAGTTTTAGTTGTGTTAATACTTCAAGTTAAACTAAAAATGAGAAATATTACAATACTTTGGCATCTAACTAAAATTAAATCAAAGTTTTTAAAATTTGTTTATGTTTTATTTTATTAAAATAATATTTATATTGTATATTTATTTTATTTATATTATTTTAATTATATTTATTTATTTATTTTATTAATAGTATTCATTATATTTGTTTATATTAATATAATTATATTTATTTATTTGTTTTTATTATTATTATTATCATATTTATAGTATTTATTTATTTTTATTATTATAGTTATAGCTATATTATTTATTTTATTTATATTATTATAATTATATTTATATTATTTATTTGTATTATTATAGATATATTTATAATATTATTTATATTATAATTTTTATTATATTTATATTATTTATTTATTTTTATTATTATAATTATATTTATATTACTTATTTATTTTTATTATATTTATAGTATTTATTTATTTGTAT